GCAGGGGATGTGAAGTGCAGGCCTGTCAGCGTACATGGGTGTGTTTGGCTCTGGTATTTAAAAAATACATCATCACTTGCTACTTACTAATAGAGAAAGTAATTGCATTGCTTTGTTAATTACTCTACAGCAAAAGTAATAAGTGGCATCACTTTATTTTATTTTTTTAACTCAGCATAGCTTCATCAAGGTACCTTCCGACGCCTTAAAAGCCACCGTACCCACGCATTGCATCGTCTGTATTTCAAAGCTGCACAAATCAGTGAATAGGTTTTATGGCCCTCAACTTTACACTTTCAGTTTAGTGTCACAGCTCTCAAGAGCGTACTTTCCAGCTGCAGCAGGCTGCTGTTTTCAGCCAAGAAGCTCTTACAAACCCATCATATGCTGCCTGCCCAGAACCAAACAGCAGACATAGTTAGAGACTATAGCTAGTGAACATAGTGGGGGCATCTAACAGCTAAACAGCCAGATCAGAGAGAAGATGTGCTAAAATTATGCTAATGCTAATGTTGCGCCGTATCTGCTGGATGCCTAAATAAGCAACGCACCCTCCTGTATGAATAACAGCTTACCAGTGGCTACTTAGCAAACTACGAAGACACAGCATGCAAATGAGACAACTTTGTCGTTGCCCGGAGGAATATATTTTCCTATTTCAAATCCTGCTTGTTAGTGAAAAAATTCCATCACATCATCAGCGGTGTTGGAAGGGTTGAGGCTGTGTGTTACAGATGGCAGGAGAGGACTTTCCCCTCAGGTGGACACAGCTGACAGAAGGCCTGAAACAATTCACTGCTGGCATGAAACTCTCTCACTTCATTTCATTCGTGGTCTTTCTGCCTTTCTCTCTCTCTCTCTTTCTCTGTCTCTCTCTCCCCCTCACTCTTCGTTACCATCACTCTGTCTTTGTCACTTTTTCTATTACCTTTCAGCCTTACTCTCTCTGCCTCTTTTCCTTATTCCTCTCTTGTTGTTTGAGCATTTTTTTTCTTTCTTTCTTTCCATCACATCTTTTCTTTCTCAGTATACCGGTTTCTACTTCCCTCTTGCTTTGTCTGCTTGCTGTCTTTCTCTCATCTGATTTTAACTCCTCTTTTTTTCTCTCTGACAAGATATATGTTTGCCCTCGCACCCTCATTCACACATTCACCTGCACACACACACGCACATGCACTGATGCACACATCTCCTTCTCTCTTTCTGTCCATCTTATCTGGATCTCTACCAGCCCGGCAGTTCTGGGCCGTTGCCTGCCCTCCTCAGGGAACACGGCTGAGCAGAGAGAAAAGAGGAGCAACGCCTAAGGCCCAGCCTTCTTAGCCTTATCATATACACACACACACACACTGTCATACTCACACCCCCAGAAGTCTGAGGAGTTGTACATGAGCAGCAGGTCCTTGCAACATGACAAAATTACATTTCTCAAAGGTACATGTCCTGATGAAGCCTAGTTTATATTGCAATTATTTTTGGCTGAACCACAGCAGCAGGGCAGACGCAAATGTCTGTGACTGACTGACTGACTGACTGACTGACTGACTGACTGATAGAGTTGAGTGGGTGATGGAGTTACACCACTGCCCATGCTGAAATGTAATATATGACATTTGTATCCCTATATGAATAATGATGTCCCCATATATGTCACCTATAAAGGGATGTATTGTTATCACATATATATACAGCACATACTACGACGGGTGGAGACCAGGATTAAAGAAGTGCGGGAGTGGGAACAGGGTGGAGGGGAGAACATTCTACATTAGGACTAATTACAATGTTGTAAGATGATTAAAACCAGATGGATGCAGTAATGCAACATAATGGTTGCCAACAAAACCCCAAAGAAGCAGAAGAAGTAGTGTTGCTAACTTAACACTTTTGTAACAAGATTTTCAGACCTTTCAGACCCTTTGACTGACTTCTTTTTTTTTAAAGCACCTAGTGACAAATCTAGCAGTTTTTTTGGACAAATTTATCTACATTCTGTTGAAGACAGTCGCCCTGCGAGCGTGAGGTCAGGTTTTCCCCCTGCAGAAATTTGCCTGTATTAAAATACTGTATCTGTGAACACAGAGAGTAGGAGAGAACAGATGCAGATAGGCTGAAACCAGCTGACACAAGGCAGAATGCAAAGACAACGTGGCCCAGCCATATACTAGGTCATGACCTAGTCTTATTTCTACTAGTAGAACTTCTGACTGTACGGAACTGGAACAACTGCAGAAAATTCAAGGTGTATGCAGTAAGACATTGTTAAAAGAAGGCAGTGATGTTTCTGTTCCAGTAGGTGCTGAGAGATATAATATCTAAAAGATGGCATTTTTATTGAGAGAAGTGCCGCTTGGCAGATCACTTGCAGACAAATTCAGAGAGGCCTTGGCCTCCATTAACTAACAAGCAAGGTGTCAGGAAAATGTTTGACATTCTCTACCTGCAAATGAAGGGAGACTATGAGGATTTGTAAATTCATGCATCTTGTTGTGTCACAGTTTGACACTGGGGGATGTTTTCCTTGTTTCACTGCCTTTCTTTGAAAAACAGTTGTAAACAAAAACAAAAGCTCGTCTCAAGGTGTGTTCAGAAACAAACTTGACTGCTGGACTGCAAACAGCTAATAAACCTACAGTACAGATTAACAGAGGAGCTCCAGGTCTGTCTGTCATTTCCCTCCAGTCTCTCTCCTTTTCCCTCTCGTCTGTCAGATGTTGGACCTTTGAATGAAAATGTAGAAGTTAATAAAAAAATAAATGGGAAGTGATATTGGATACAACGATCAGGAAAAGCACAGGTGTACCTAATAACATTACTGATGGCTCCATTTTGTTTCTCAGTAAGCAACCATCATCAATGTCACTGATTACAACTCTGCTCCTGTGACTATGACATGTCAAAATGTCTGCCATGATTAATTTTCTGAATAATTTCCAAGGATTTTTTGTTGTATGAACTTTACTATTTGGTACTAATCCAAGGGAAATGATGACATGGAGTTTAAGGGGAATGCTTCCAATTACTTAATTGCTTACATAACCAAGGAGTGAGCTGAACATCCAAAAACGTGCAATTTGTTCACAGAAAACATACAGTTCAATGTTCATACTTAAGCAAACAAAGTTTCCAATAATAATTTAATAGTAGGAGTATTTGCTTAGTTAATTAAGTAATTAATTACATATTTTCCCAACAAATAGTACCAAATTATGTGGATTCTTAGGAAAATAGACCCATAAAACCCATACAATACTGGAATTATGAAGCCATAACATTTTGGGTTAAAAATGGACTAGGAAATAATATTTTTTCTTAATCGAAATGCAGAGTAACTAAATATAGATTTGCAATTAATCAGTTACTTAAAACCAGGTATGAAAACCTGCACACACACAGGGCCATCCTCTCCAAGCTCAGCAAGTGATCTATCTTCTCTATCTGTTTGAATGGTCTTAAAGGAGGCTTTGTTGCTGCTTATCAAACCCACAGTGCTTAACAAGCCATTACCGCAGCTATCAACAATCAACAAACCTGCCCACTACCAGGAGCCTGCAGGGCAAACTCTAACCTCAAGTGTGTACACAAAGACTGTGATGCGAAAGGCACACAAACATACCAACGCTCACGTGCATACACAACATTCACTTGCACCTGATCATAAAGCGCACACGCATACACACACAAACACAAACGCACCTACTCACACATGCCAGCAGCAGCAGTGGGCGGTCCCCGGCGAGGCAGAAACACGCTAATGGATAATGACAGGGTTTGACAGCAGGAGAGTGAGCTGAGTCACTCTGGGCGCGCAGGCAATGAATAAAAGAACGGGAGTGCTGTCTGAATATCCCTCACTGACTGGATTTCCTTTGATACCATACTATTCCTGCCAGTCTCCCTTGGTAATCCTGCTCATTACACTGCGCTGTCCCTCTATTCTGAGACTGGCAGCAGCAGTCATCCTCACTAGCTAGCCAGCACCCGCCGAAAGAGGATGTAACCGCCACTTGTATTGTCTCGTCTGTGTCTTGATGGTTACTGGTGCATTCAGCTTTTCACTGTGGACCTCTCTCACCATCACTGGCTGACTCACAAACACAAGCTATCATAAATTAATACGTCTCAGCATCACTTCAACATGGCAGCCTATGTTCTCCAAATTGTGTGAGAGCACCAGTGCTGCTGAAATTAATGTGACATTTGTTGAAGGATGAGGTTTTTTTCTTTTTCCCCCTCTCTCTCTCTCTCTCTCTCTCATCTCTGCAGACATACAGGCTCTTGCTGTTTTGCTCATGTGTCATGTGCTAATAGGAAGATTCACTCTTTTCACATTGGAAACTGTGAAACGATACTGTTCAGTGAAAGGAACCAATTAAAAAGTTCTTTGAAACCTGCCAGTCATATCATCTTAATGCTTTTTGATTTTGGTTGTGGTGCCGTTTGACAGGCGCACTTTCCGACAAAAAAAAGATTACTCGCTGTTTCACTTTTTGCATCAGCTGATAACAGGGAGATTGGCTTTCGGGAAAACTCATCACTCTGTGAAAGCTGCCAGTCACATCCTCCTACTTTCTGTGGATGCATCTGCCCCACTGAGTTAGGTCCAATTTAAAACATCACAAACACCACAGTTTGGCCAAAATCATCATTTGTATTGCTGCTGCCTGTTCTCCCGACACAAATAGCTCTGACAAAAGGTCAGATGTCTATTTCGTCTGATTAACCCACCACTGCTTTAGCTAGACAACTTGTGAAATCTATTCCAGGAATCTCTGACTTGCATTTTTTTTTTTTTTTTACCCCCCCTCACCCCCCCCACTCACACCCACCCACCCCCCCATTCCAGTCGGATGTGTTAAATGTTGAGCTCTCCGTCAGTGTCACATTGACAAGTAAATGCTATTCCAATTATTCTGCATCCTCTCTGCTCGCTGTCAAATTACCAGCCCTGGGAGTGGAGCACGGCTCTCACTGCACCTCTCTGGCATTTTCCCTGACAGGGAGAAGAAAGGAGCCTGAGATAGCAGAGCGAGGGAGGGCTCGGGGCTCAATGAGCATTTTAAATGCTGAAGCCAGGTAATCAGACAGGCTCAGGCTGAGACCAGGAGAGAACTGTTGGGGATCGAAGACATTTCGCCACGGATGCTTTTCAGCTGATTTCCCAAGCAAGCGTGTCGTTTATGAATACCTGACCAGGTGCTTCACGTGTAATAAAAACGAGAAGCAAACTGAATAAGATAAAAAAAATAAAAAAAAATGCTTGCAAACTGTCTCATGCTTCTTTAGTGGTTTATTCCGCAATGTTTGGATCCCTGGACTCACAAAGCAAATCTTTACAGTGCAAAACATCCAGAATCATTTAGTGATCAATAGTGGCAGATTTCTGTGAAGCTTCTTCAACATAAAACCATACAATACAAAGGTCGAGAGAAACGGCATAAAAAAGTGTGAAATGTGTGAAATTGCAGAATTTAGCTGGAGACACATTTTCAATCAGTATCAGCCCCGGCATTGTTGCTGCTTTTTATTCAGCTGTTGGCTGATTCTTTTTTTTTTTGGGGGGGAGGGGGTTGTTTTCTCCATAACAGGCAGAGCAGGGGGCTGGCAGGCAGCAGTATGTAAGCTGCAGCAAAAACAAGCTGTGTTTTTTAAATGACACCTCAGCTCTGGGGACCTTGGGGCAACAGCCACCTGACGTGTGTAAGAGTTATTTCAGGCATAAGGGAGTGTCAGTCAGTGCGACAGCCCTTTGCAGTATGCACACACACACAAACACACACACACACACACCTCTCATTAGCACAGAGCTGCAGAGAGGTTGAGTAAGTGCTGCTCTGTTCAGATGTTCACACACACTTCAGTGCCTGTCAGTGCCGAACCACACAGAGAACTGTGGGACAAGAGGCTTCTGTAAAAGTGTCTAAGAAGGAAACTTTTAGCGTCATTATTTCCATCGTTATCACTGTGCCGTGCCGAAGATAGGGAGGAACCTGCCACAGTCACAGGAGATGTAATGGTACTAAATTTTGTAGGCATATTGTTGTGTTTATTGTTGGAGGCTATTTTTTATTGTTTTGCTGGTTATCATGAACATAAGCTGGGGAGCAACACTGAGGGCACAGATGAGAGCAAGAGGAAATTATAGGTTGGAGAGTGGAGGCCAAAGGTGATGCGCCGCAGTGGAGGGGAGAGGAAAGATAAGACACTTGGGGAGGATGGAGTAAAGCACCAGCATCTGCAGGGGGGGTGGTAATGGAGGGAATGTAGAGGAAAACAGAGGCGAGAGCAGAAAGCAGGAGAGTGCTCCAGGCTAATCAGGAGTCACTATGAAGGCCCGGGATGGTCCTGTGTGTGGGGTGGTTGGAGCTGAGAGGTGAGCTAGCAGGCGGGCTAAGAATGTATGCTTTCAAGACCACTGACGAAGAAATAAGTTGCTTGAAGGCGTGATCCCAGGTGCAGGACAGTCCTGTTCCTCCCAACTCGTAATTTGCTGATGACAGCTAACCAATCTGAGCTATTTACACTTCAGTGTCGATGAGGCTTAAGCTAGTTTTTAATCATCTATTTCTCTGAAATGGATTAGCTTTTCTAGGGAGCATTATATGGTATTTCTATTAGCATTATGTGTAAATCCAGGGGACTGTTCATACAGGATTAAAGCACCTTGTGATTTGAGTCAAATTACTGCTTAATGACCAGATTTACAAGGTTACGACCTAACCTGTATCCTGTATGTTGACCCTCACTAAACAAGCACAGCTACTAGAAAACCACTGAAAAATAATCCCCTGAAATGAATTAATAAACCACAGGAGAGACAACCTGCTACAGCTGCCAAAAATATAACACATTACATGTTAACCTCAACCCAGAATTGCTTTGCTTTTAACAAAACATGAAAAAAAGAAATGAAATAAAATAAACGAAAAAAGGGCATTTGCTTTTTATGAAATTTTTTGAAATATTAAAATTGTATTATATGACAAGTCCTAATAAAACTAATCTAGTTCAATTATGAGCAAAGCACCTAATATTGGCAGGGACTGTCTCCAAATCTTTCTCCTATCGTTAGTAGTTTTGGTCGTATATCTTTATGTTTTAAATGTATTCTTGATGCAAAATTCTTACTTTTCAGAAATCAAAAATTTCTTCAAAATTTGTTTTATATTGGCCTTTTGTGACTGTGTCCAAACACAATAATAATCTTTATTCTCATTTTAAAAAATGTAATGAAATATAGGCAGAATTTCATTGGTTATATTTGGTTCCAGAGTCATTTTAATCTTCTCTCTTCATGTCCATGTGATGGACTGATCATGCCGAAGCTGCTGATCTACCAGTGCGTCATGGCGGTCCCCGAACTATTCACTTAGCATTCAGCCGCAGTCCCTGTGCTTTACTCACATGTCTGGACTCATCAGTCCCTGCTGTAATCAGTCGTGCTCTGACAGGAAAACAAGGGGTGTGTAAGAGAACGTGAAGCTAACTCAAATGAGAGGACAGGGTAAACAGTGACAGGGCCAATTCCAGTTCCCAATCTCACTGCAAATAGAGGTGAACAGGGGTGCACAGAGGCTTAACGAAGACATAGCAGCATCTGATCACAGCACCTCAGCACGCTGCCAGTGCACCACCAGGTCATGATAAAAGGATTTGGCATTGACTTTAATCTAGAAGAAATGAAAAATTGTAGAAAAAAAAGACTTAAAAGAGGTCATCAAACAATTCATTTAATCCCCCCCCCCCAAAAAAAACCAGCACACAAATCCTTAAATGACAAAGAAAAAAGAAAATAAGAAGAAAAAAAAAAGCACAGCACCGGAGGAGTGCAATTATATTTTGAATTCCTTTATTTATTTGAAGGGTACAATCAAAACCAGCATACCTTCTCCAATGGAAGCCATCAGGTCGCTCTCAAATCTAAGAAAAAATATAGTGGATAATGAAAACTGGAGCACTGCTATAACAATACACAGAGAAGGACACAATTCTCCTTCCTCTCTCAGCCAATTCCAGACCACAATGCCTTTTCAGTTGCTTTTAGCAAATAATATCATCTCCTCCTCATTTTTTTGACATAATACTGATAAGATGTTTGTGTTTGCATCTAAAATATATGATATTGATTGATTAAATTAGGTGGATTTTAATTTTCATCTGTTTGGCCTCAGTTAAATTTAGCCCTTACTTCAGCACCAGGAGCTGTCCATGATCCAGTCGTGTCCTCACCCTTCTTTAACTGTGTCCCAATCAGCTGAATAAGCAAGTTCTCACACCTTTTTGAGTTTTCATTCACTGTGTGTTTATTCATTTGGAATGTAACATGTATTGGGGATAAGGGGAATAAAGCTTCTGCTGAAGCAGGCCCTCCTGTGTATAATTGTCCTGTATTAGCAGGAGTCTGAAGAGGCAGTGGAGTGAGCAGTCACGGCACAATCAGCTCGATAGCGCCATGTCACAATTTTAGCGACTTGTTTTCCGTTTGAGAAATGGTTCCATATAACATGACTGGCTGGATGACTGTGTGGTACAGCAGGAAGATTTGTGGCTGTGCAGATGTTTTCTGATGACAGGATTTTTTTGTTGTTGTTGTTGTTGACGTTGATGGTCTGCTGGTTGTAAATGAGGTCATTGTCTAAGGTGATGCTAAGATATTGATGGTGGGAAAAATGGGTTTGCGGTGTGTGAAGATTGACAAGCATTTCCTTTGTTTCCGCGACCTCGAGGTGAGAAAAGGAAGGAAAGGAAGGAGAGCCCAGTATTGATTTTTTGACAGGCCACAACAAAGTTAATGAGGACTACAAGAATGTCTGTGTCATCTGCATATTTGCAGACAAAAGGTTGTGCTGTTCCCTAAACACACGGTTTACATCATAGAGGAACAGACTGAGAACACGGTCCTGTACTGTATGGATCCAGCTGACAAGTGGGAGAGGGGATTTGGTTCTGGTGCGGTTTCCTCATTCATTAGGTGCAGTAGAGTTTAATGCAGACCAGTCCCTTAATGTTTGTGTAAGAGGAGTCTCAAAGTTTTTTAAAACTTGAAAACAATTTATTCTGAAGTCCAATCCAGTTTGCTCTTTTGTTTTCAGACATGTTGTTGTATGGGAAAACAAGATACAAGAGTGAGAAACAAGAGTGTCTCTTTACTTTAATAGCATGGATGTATTGATTATTAGATAGTAAATTCATACTTTTTCATTGGGATTTAAATGGACAGTGTATCTTTATAGTTATAACTAAGCAAGAAGTTTTGACTTCCAGTATAAGAGGAAATGTGAGGAAGAATTTGGTTTATTATCCCACATGTTTCGAGATAAGAGTCTGCATCCTTGTCCACACAGCCATCTGTAAAGTTTATCGGTGCCGCAATTCTCATCACAGTGTGTTTGTTGTCTCTTCCCCTTTGAATAGTTGAACTCAGTGCTCGGGCTGCAACTACATCAGAGCAGATCACTCCTCTCATGTCATCATCACCTCTGTTGAATCCTCTTCTTTTTCCAGCTGCGCCTGCGCAAGCTCCGGGAGCGCACACAGCAGCTCCGCCTGCAGATTTGGACTGTGTGAACTCACAAAATTTCAGACTTCTAACGAGAAACCTTAACGAAAACTCCACTTACTGTGTGGCCTTTTGGTATCCCATTAACTATCCCGTGGGATTGGTTCACAGATGCAGTACTGCAGTGTGTGCTCTGCACCTAGGTCAAGAGCGCTGCAGCATCTAAATAAGATATGTGTCAATTAAAGCCTCCTGCACCTCATCACAGCCGGGATAATTCACTTAACCCCAGGCTCACAGCTGACAGGTAGCATTTGTTTACACATCCCTCCTCATGCAAGTTGCCAGGCCCCATCCTCTAAGTGGTATTAAAACAAGCCGCCTCCCATCACACCCCCACATACAGCTCTCTGACGCTCTGTTTCCATGGAAATCTGCCCTAGGAAGTCTTTGCATTTCGTAACCTTGAAAACACCCCAAGCAGGATCGACTCCGAGAATAAATTGTTGTCAAAATGAATTGTCATAACAGTAATCAGTGCCACA